AACACACCTACCTCACTTTACATTATGCGACTCATTTCATCACCAACAAAACTGTATGTAAAGCTATATCAGCTCGTTTTAAATCGCTTCACCTAGCGCCTCGAGACGTAAAAGAGCCATAACTTCGCCGTTCGTCATCGTACAATCTCGTGGCTAGGACATTTTCGATAGGAAAGACTACGTACTCGATACCATCTTCGTTGCGATAGTGCTGCGATCGTAACTATTTTTTAATTAATTTAATATAGTGCAGTATTTTAATAGCATTTCAAGTGCATTCAAAACGGCCCCATCAGAATTGGCGAGAGCGACAAATCTCATATATGCCTTTGGCTACATGAATGACGAAAATAGTATATACGAGCTCGGTGGACTAATTTATGGCTCTCTTGGGCACAGAGTGACGATTTTCTAAAGATTTTTGAAATGGCTTGCTTGAGCGTACAACGATGCGGTTCCGAGCTCATTTTGTAGGCGTTCGAGCAAAGTTATACTAATACAGCGAATATAAAAATATTTCATTTTTGGTCAATTTGTACGACACTGCGTTGGCTTGAAAAATTCATTCAATCTCAAAATGGAAATGAAGCGCTTCTGTGAGGCGAAAAAAATCACGAATTTGACATGACGAAATCAAATGAAACGTGTGCATGCGCAATACTACGATCTTTTTATTATCGTTTCAATGACGTCCCAAGAATATCCTGAAAAAACACATTTAATGGACTCATGATGAATCAACTTGTAACGCGCTCTAAATTGGTGAAAAAGCTCAACGACCCCATATAATGCACACAAAATACTCAAAGATGCGTTTCATATTCGTTGCTAATGGACATAATTAAAAAAACTTTGAAGACGATGATACGCTCCAAGAGAAAAATCGATGCTGAAATTAAAGGAATAAAAATGGTGCATCAGTAGCCCTTCGAAGAGTCCATACACGAGAGCAAAAATCAGGAAATATGATTGCCTACTATGAAATGAAACGATTATTTGTATGCAAGGGAATGCCGCAGGAATGCTAGCATAAATGTAGTTAAAATATCGTAAATATAAAAAAGATGGAAAATAGTCGTGGAAAATAGTAGAAAAAGTGGGCGCTAGTGGTGAGGCAGTAGACAAGCAAAAAAGAAGTGTTGCCACAAACCGGGATCGAACCAGTGACCTTCAGATCTTCAGTCTGGAGCCCTCCCCCAAGTGATCTATTGCGGCTAGTAGTCCCATGTAGCTCAGTTGGTTTTTCGTTTTTATTTGGTGCAGAAGGCCACTGGTTTCGAACCACGCCCTGCGAACATTTTCCGCCCGGATCTATCCGGAGGGACTACCGGAAAATGGGGCGAGGGGAAAAGAACTATGAGGCGGCGTGTCACGGAAAAAGAACGTGTCACGTCGCACCAGATGGGGAAAAAAACCAGCCGCTGGCCTTGAAAGGGGCCCTCACCCATCTCTCCCCCAAGCACATCTCCATTAAGTGCGCCCCCAAGGAGCTTGTCCCACCACACTGTTCAAGTTCCACCCTCCAGAAAACACAAAATCCATTGCCGTCT